TACATGTATTCCTATTATGGGGTTTAAATATATGCAAAAACCATGGCAAAACAAATCGTTCTTGTCATGATGCAGTAGGTAACTTTAAATGCTTTTTCCTATTGAAATAACATGCTCACACCCTAGTGCTTCTGCCCAATTCAATTGTTTTGTTCCCAAAGCGCTTAATCATAGTAAATTTCTTGTTATTGTGATATTGTAAAAGGAACAATTTTTTGGGATACGCTACACCACCAACATTGGTGGCATCAGCCATCAATCACTACTGTCTTCATCAACCACCACCATCACCATCAAAACAATCTACCATTGATCTGTACTTGCACTTACCAGGATTAAGTACAGACTCATAATACATGACATCTGCAAACTTAGGAAATTTCTCTAGATCCACTTTTTCAGGATCAATTGGTGAAAGACCAGGTAACACATTAAACTCATCAGCATAAACATTTTCACTGTAAGAACTTTTGAAGAGAATAACTTTCTTTGTCCCTGAGATTATTGCTAAAATATTTTCATATCCATCGTGATGTAATGGTGAACTGGTGTTTCCACTGCTCATGAGAAGATAGACATCACTTATAGTGGAACTGATCTCTTTACACTGGAGTATAGATGGTAGACTAATCTCATTAATCAAATTTGAAGGGGGAAATGGTGAATCCAAATATACAGATTGCTCTTTGTAAATTTCCAGGAAATGTGATAAGTTCATGTCCTTGCGGACACTTAACGCGTCCCTGTAAACTTTGTACATGTGCACTGTAAATGGCAGTTCTCCATATGTCAAGTTCAGGTACGTTTCATTTGGCCAGTTTTTCACAGCCAACCAATGACTTGCCGCATTTCGGATAACCACAGGTTCACGTCCATGAATGAAATTTTTATAGAAGTATTTACCATCGGGAGAAAATTTTAATTCAGGTATATTTCCTAATAACATGCCTTGAGAACCTATGGCCTCAAGATGACCTAGAATAAAGAATGTGTTGTCAAATTATTTCTATAGTTTCATCACACAATTTAATTATCACTCAAAGGCTTTCAAAAATTATTGGGGGGGAGGACTGTCCCCTACCCCCCTTTGTCCAGACTAGTGTCTGTCTATTTAAACATACAAACTGGGGGTCACGCCCTGAACTATGTTGTCACCTCCTTTGCATTCAAAAGGTTAATCTGGTAAGGTTAATCTTGGGTTTGCAACTGCTAAAATAAAAAATTATAGTTGAAAAAATCGCCATGCACCTGTCAAACAGCTGTCTGGAATCAATCATTGAATATTTTATAGACAAAAAAATTGGGATAATGATCAATTTTTCTAAAAAAAGCAACAAAGCTTGCTTATTCTAAAGTACGCTTGAATTGAGAGTAAATGATGGAAGTATATATAAAATGCATTTGTATAATATAGTTTACATAAAATAAAGCGTGGTCGTACTGTGCATTCATGTGTAGTGCAATAATACATTTGTCATTTGTCACAAAACAACAGTTTATATATAAAATTTTAAGTAAAATGTAATACCTTTTAATTTGTCGGCAGCATTTCTCGTCTCTTCTTCACCATTCAATTGCTGCAAAATTAAAAGAAAGCAAATAATAGGAAGCCACATTTGAAATGTTTTTAAAAATCCCGGTTTCTCAAATGAATAAAACAAAGTGTGATGAATGTTCGATGAATGAAAATTGTGTTTACAATGTTTATATTAGCCTACATGGCAGATGGTCAGCCCGGCTGCGGACACCTAAAAACGGGCCGGTCTTAGCCTCCTCCGCAGGCATCGCCTTTCGATTATCGGGCAAAACTTCTTGCAGGCAAAAAAATTAATACCGACTTTCTGAAGTACGTGAACTACGAGATGCCTGCGGAGGAGGCTAGGCCGGTCTCTTCTTTCAAAACATATTCAAATGATTCAAATTTAAATTCATTTAAATTTATAATTAAACCTTTTTACAAACCTTAAGTAAATCTATCTGCATAAACAAATATTTTAATACTGTCATATTTTTTTGGTTTTTTATATGAAAAATTCATTATCTAAAGAATATTGTATAAAATTGAGTGTTGCTGTCGCGTTCACTAAAATTGGTTTCATTGTCTCTTTGGACGTCTTCGTTGTCTCGTTTTTGCGGACGCGTTGTTCCCTCTGCCCGAACTTGTGGGTATGGGAGTAGACGCCACAAATCCACCTGCAAAATTAAAACCGCCCGCAGGTGCTGGAGAACCTGAAAAATAAGGAAATTATCAAATATATTCACGAGCGATTTTCCGTGCGGGAACGTTGTCAGTTGCTGTTTTACTTTGGTTATTCATAGACAATATTGACTATTCATAAAGTCTCGTTTACACTACGCTCAATTTTTGGTACGGCACGGATAAAATTGGTACCCCTACCACTTTTTTGGTTCTTGGACTACCTATTTGGGTGGTCAATAAAATAAGGTCAATAAAATAAGTAGTCAATAAAATAAGTAGTCAATAAAATAAGGTCAGGAAACTCGATGCAGACGTCATACGGCACGGATAAAATTGGTACCCGTACCATTTTTTTGGCGTAGTGTAAACGGGGCTTTAGTCAATAAAATAAGGTCAGGAAACACGATGCAGACGTCATACGGCACGGATAAAATTGGTACCACTTTTTTGGTTCTTGGACTACCTATTTGGGTATTTGATGCTCCTTGTATTTTTCAGGTAGTTGTATCTCTATCAATCTGAAGCTTTTTTTATTATTGGTACTACCTAGACTGGCGCATTTTGACCAATAGCCTGACACCAACGCCAGAAAATAGACCATTATTTCTGCATTACTACGCTGTAGTTGCGAAGAACATAAACGCCATGTCAAGACTTGCTAAATTTGCTATAAAAACGAAGCCTCGATTCTCAGACCGTAACTCGGAAATGGCCTGTTTTAATTGTCAGCGAAAGTCCCAAAGAGGAGTGATGGGAAGATTGAGGAGTTAGACGTGCGATTTTTTAAAATTAATTCAACTTACCAAAATTAAATGTCCCCGTAGTATTCTGGCCTTCAAAGTTGAAGCCAGCGCTGTTAGAGGGCTTGTTACCAGCAGCACCCGCATTGAATGTAAATCCACCGCTTGGATTTGAATTTTTAGCCGCGGATGAAGTAAAACTAAAAGTACTGCTGTTATTGTTCACTGTAGACGCATTAAATTGAAATCCACCGCTGCCACTTGCTTTATCAGTTGTGGGCGCAGAAAAGGCAAAACCACCGCTGGTAGTTTGTTTGTTACTTGAGGGCGCAGTGAAAGTAAAACCACCGCTGGTACTAGGTTTCTCTGTCGCGGGCGCAGTGAAAGTAAAACCACCGCTGGTACTAGGTTTCTCTGTCGTGGGCGCAGTGTAGGTAAACCCACCGCTGGTACCAGGTTTCTGTGTCGTGGGCGCAGCAGTCGTGGACGCTGTGAAAGTAAAACCCTTTGGAGCTGTCGTCTTTTCTCCTGCTTGAGTAGTGAATCCGCCGCTGACGTTTGGTGCCGTTACAGCAGGCGCATTGAAAGAGAAATTGCTGGGTGGGGTTGCCTTGGCGAGTGCCGATGAAGAAAATGAAAATCCTCCTGCTTTTGGCTGGGTTACAGATGAGGTGGGCGTCACATTGGATGTTTGGATATTGCTTCGCACAATAGAACCTACGCCTGTAGTGAAAAGACCAGCAGTCGTGTTCTGAGTGACAGGCGCAGTTGTTTGTGTGACATTTCCAGTTGAAACACCCGAGGGTTGAAAACTAAAAGTTGATAAAGTGCTAGGTTGAGAAGCCGTGCTGGCTGGCGTACCAGACGCCGGAAAACTAAATGATTGTTGACTAGTTGTGTTTGCTTTACTTGAAGTATTGCTAGATGACAGTGAGGGTGCTGACAACGATACTGCAGCTGCGTTTGAAGTTCCACCAAATAACCCGGTAAAGGACGAGGTATTTGAAGAACTTTTTGGTCCAGCAAACGTAGAACCACCTGTAGTCCCTGATGATCCACCAGAAATCCCACTAAATAATGTATTTGATCCAATCATACTCGTCGCTCTCATATGGCGTGGCTGGTCTGTGCTATTACTAATGAAGTTGGTTAATGGATTAGCTGCGGTGGTATTTTGTGTTTGAACCGGAGCTGTAGTAGTCTGTTGGCTGGTACAAGGCACGGTTGATGCCGGAAGTGACGTTATAGTTGATGCCGGAAGTGACGTTATAGTTGATGTCACAGGTGACGTCACAGTCGTTGTTGAAATGGTCGTCACTATTAACGAAGACGTTGATCCTAAGATTCAAATAAAAAAACAAACATTATTATCTCAACATGGTAATGCTATTCATGAGGTTCGCTGTCTTCTTGTAACTTAACCAATGAAACCTATGTGAAAAATAACCATGCATGCAATTACAGACGAGCAACAAAACGCGTTAGCTAATAAGGACAAATCTTCAGGGGTGGATTTACAGGGGAGGTGCACAGGGGTGCGCAGCCCTGTTGGCCTTGGTCAACAGGGGTGCAAGGGGAGTGCAAAAAAATCAAATTCAGAAATATGGCACAATTTCCAAGGTTTTTCCTTTTTTGAAGTCAAACTGAAGCTCATAATTCAATGCCCATATCGCAGGAAATGGCATTTCTAGGGTTCTAATTTTCAAACTTTTCTGGGGGCATACCCCTGGACCCCCTAGGGAGCTCGGCGCTTGAGTCGTTAGGAAGCCAATTCATTTGAATGCTCTCCCACAACCCCTTAAAGAATTATAAAGAAACACTCGGCTGCTCGCCCAACACCCCCTAGAAAAACCTTGCTGATCCACCCCTGCAAATCTTACCTATTTCCTTAGAAAATGATTCTTCTATATCATCCAGAAGTTTCTGTGATCTTCGCCAAGCTTCGCGCCTGTTCTCCTGAAGATCTTTCCAAGTTATATTTGAACCGTGACGACGGCGGGGTGATTTCTTGCTCTTAAAATAGACGAAAATATCGTTTGCTATGCAAGTTCGCCCTACTTAGTTTAACAAAAATTCGTGAACCTTTGAAAACAAGTAATTTACTCACCTCTGTCCGGCTGGACGACAGGTATTCTGGTGCAAGTGATTTTCGTGGGGAAAATCCAATCTGAATAAAAAAATGTATATAAACATGTAATCTGAAATTTCGCTCTCAAATTCAGTGAGTAGTATGTGATTTGGTACTTTATGAACTGGACACTTCTTAATTAATTATTAAACTTAATTTACTGTACTGAGTAGCTCGATCAGTTCTGCACTATTCTTCCTTGGGCTTCAGTAAAGAATCAAAATTTATTGGCTAAGTATAATTAGTACAGAAAGAAACCTAAACCAAACACCTTTATTCATACTGGACCAGTTTCAAACTTTCAAAACTTCCTAGAAATGCAGAATGGATTTATTCCTTATTGGTTGAATGTTACTACAGGAGGAAATCTAAAGGAAACTAACTTTACTTCTACTGGATAACTATATCAGTACTAATCTGTTCTTCCTAGAGAAAATGAAATCAAATCAGAAGCACTCTCTTGAGGAGAAAGGCGTATCTCGACTAACCACCTTCTTAAGTGGAACTTACACGAAAAATCTGTGAACAATCCTCCGGAGAGTGTTTCTTGAAATTGCTCGCATCTTGAATCTCTCCGTCTTCAAGTGTCAGTTCTTCTTCTTCAGAACAACCCCCACGTCCATTCACAAGTTTGTCCGAAAATGTAACTGATTTTCGCTTTCTCAGTTTGGTCGGCTGAACCACCTTGGCTAAAAATAGTTTAATGTGTTTACCACTCTGAGGTGGACGGAAAGCCTTACCAAGTTTCACAATTGACAAAGTTCTCCAAGGGGTAGTTAGTTATGATTTTAATGCCTAGAAGTTGTTCTATCAATGGTTGTGATACTTTAACCCATTGTGTTGCATTGCACCCTGATGTGCCCTACTTAATAAAAATTTTACTCTGTAACGCCAGACGATCGTATTCGTCAAGGAAAGATCGCTGGCCCAAAGCAGGAAATAATTTTTGCTTCTGAAGTTTTGGGGTCAAAGTTTTTTGCCGAGCTCACTAATATTCTTCCTAATAAATTATTTTCTGTGCCTGTAAATTAGAGGTGTGCATCGGATCGGATCGGACGTTTATAATCCGACAATTGGCTAATGTTTAAAATCCAATCCGATCCGAACTTGTCTAATCTGAATCCGATCCGAGTTTTGATAAAGAATTCCGATCCCGGACCCGAAGAATCCTTTAATAAAATAAATTTCTCATTCAAGTGTAAATTTTTTACCAAATAAATATAAAAGCAAGATTGTACATGTCAAGAAGCTGACAAAGTGACGTCCAATTGAATTATCAAACGAATAATACAACGACAACCGCGTTGCCGTGGATAATTAATTCATTTTATTTCGCCGAATATCGAAGTCCGATCCGACTACGAACCAACTTTATCAATCCGATCCACCCCGAAATGAATATTTTTGTTCCGAAATCCTAATTAAGCCAAATCCTAGATACCAGGATCCACCATTATTTCCTGCTATGGGTGCTCAATGGGTTAAATACACAGGATTCTCCTTATCAGGCGGTAACCGGTAAAATTTACCGTTTCCACGAGCACTGATTACCGTCTGGAGAAGCCCAAGTTAAATATACGTTTGTGTACATTTGTTAAGAAATAATTAGTAATAAGGTGTGAGAAAATCCTTTATATAATAACTACAGTGAAACAGCAATTTTATTGGTCAATAGTCGTGCAGGATCAGGCTATCCTGCACGAGGAATTATAATGCCTTCGCGGGATTTTCAAAATGTCATAGTTTCACTGCAGTTATTTTATAAAACAATTACCAAATGG